TTGAAAAGTGAAAGAAGAAATAGATGTAGGGGTTGAAAAATGAAAAAAAGAGAAAAGTAAAGGGGTGTATAAAAAGAGTAAGAACCCTAGAGGAAGAAGAAGAAAGAGAGCGCCTGAGGCCGAGCGCTTCCCTCGTGAGTGAGGGGTGGCGTGGTATTCCCACGAGAAAAGGTTTTATTGTGGCGTACCCTTCTTTGGGTGCGTAGGCGCATATCATCCAATCGGGCCTTCTCTCCTTTGATGCTTCCTTCTCTTTAGGCTCTGTCAAAGCGAGATGGTTTTTGCCCTACATTTCCAACTAACTCTATTGGATTGGATTTTCAATCCTTTTACGAGTCCCTCAGGTTTTCGCTATTGCTTGATTGATTTATCATAGGAAAGTCCCAACTTTGTTGCCAAGCAAATTCTCAAAATGCTTCTTTTTTTTTGTTTTCTCTCTTTAGATCTAGTTTTTGGTAACTGGATACAAATGTGTTTTACATGATGAACAAGATATTCTTTTTCTTGCTGGATCGTTTTGCCGGTTCGCGTTTCGTATAGCTGTGCCATATAAGGTTGCAAAGCCGATGAAATTACGATCGAATCCTGTTTTGATATCAAATCTTTTGCAAATAAATGATATGAATCGTGCTTATTGACGGTCTTGTGCTGATTAGATAAACTCCCATCAGTACATAACATAATCATAAGCTAAATTGTTTGTGCCACTTTGTCTTTCAAGCTCTTCCTTCTATTACATAAGGAATTGCTATCCACCTGTGGCGTAGATTTTTTAAGTAAGGAGACCAAAAAAATATGAATTTGGCAACCTCAACATCTCTATATTATTAAATCCGGAAACATACTTGAGAATATGACATTAAAAATTTGTAGAAATTACATGCCATCGAAATTAAATTTTACGTCTGACCAGAAGTACTTATAAACAATACAGCTTTAGAGACAATCAGAAGTTGTGTCAAGTTTAACATCAGTTGATCTCATTCCTTCTTGCTCGAATCTCTTGCAAGGCTGATTACTTGGCCTATTTTCATATGTAGTGAGATCAAAAAGGCTCGACTATAACTTCATTTCAAATATATTGAGTCAATAGATTTGCAACAATACAGTAATCTAGAACAGGTCCAGGAACATACATTATCTCAGAAAAATAAAAAATAAAGAAGAACCTTACACTTTCATCTCAGAAAAATAAGTTGATGAGACAGCCAAACCTTCATGGTCATATGTGCGGACCAGTCTCTGTCTTGAGACAGGCGATTCAAGCCAGCAGAATTCTAAATGGAAAGACTTTAACTCAGCAACACTCTTTGATACGTCACAGGGACATCCCATGTACATACCTCCTGGTAACAATGTCATTTGGTATCCTTCCTCGAATGTCACCAAGTTATTCGACATTTTACCCACCCAGTGCACATTTGTAGTAACATTCTTCACATCGGATGTCGAGGAAATATCCTGATTGACATAAAGTCAGAGACCTATCTCATATAAAACTGTCAATTTCTATGTGGGAGTGTTGAATATTGTTTACCTGGACTACCTGACCTTTGTCATTCATTTCAAGAACAGCGATAGTATCGGCTTCAGATAGAGTTGCTCCATAGACACCGCTTCGTTTTGTTACTGAACGACCTTTCCAAGTACCGAGAAACGGAGTAATCCTTTCTCCATCATCCTGCAACAAAAGAGAAACGTAATTAAAAAAATGGCCCTTGAATGCAATCATGAATGGAGATTAATGATGCTTCATAAGCTTGAATCAATAATAAAACTGACAACAAATTACCTGAGAGTTATCGAGGACTGGATGCGTGAGATTCTCTACCCCTCTTTCCTCGAGGAAAACAATAAGCATTTCAAGAACACCTTTAGGATCCATGATGTGAAAGGCTCTAGCCCTTCTATCCATCTTCGTCGAATACAAGCAGTTCTCACATACTAAAGCAGGACGCCGAGATGGAAGTTTAAGAAATCTGAAAATTTGTTACTACCTTATTACTACCATCTACATTCAATGCTTCATGGAGCATAAAAAAACTGTCAATTAGTCAATGGGCATGAGAAACCAACCTTGGTGATTCTTCTCCAGTGTCATCTTCCCCGAGAACGCCTTGCCTTAACGTAGTATCCAACATTCCAGCGGTTTGATACCTCAACGAAAATGCTCTCTCCTTGGGGAAATATCCAATCTGCAGACTACTGATGATGGATATCAAGAGAAAAAGAAAAAGGAGATAGTCAACAAAGTCAAGATACTAAATCGAATCCCTAAGAGACAAACAAACAACAAAAGAAATACTAAAAAACTTTAGTATCTTGATTGACATATAACAGAATTACACTCACCTGCTGATATTTGTCCACAGTGAACATATTAGTTTCTTTGATTTTGTATTCAACCCATTCTGGTTCCTCTTCTTCCTCTTCGGCCACTGAAGTAGCTGATGTAGGCTGCTTTATATATAACCTAAAATTTACAAAAACCCAAGACAGCTTAGGAGGAAACTTGTTGTGCAGAGCAAAAACCACTGCTTGACTAAAAAATCCAAAAATTGTATACAAGAAAACACTTCAGATTTGGTCCAAATTCATAGAGTAATACCATGTAACATCAATGAGGACATACAATTTCCTCTCTCTAATGATTCAAACATCATTAAAAACTCAAAACTTTCTACACTTTCTATTGCCAAATTTGCCTCCATTGGATCCTTAATCCACGAAAGAAACACAGAAAAAAAAAAGCAAGAAAGAATCATACGATTGGTTAAGGCTGATGAGTTCATCTTCTCCATATGAACTAGCAGAAAGTCGAGTATCAATTTTATGCAATAAATTCCCATTACCATCAAATTGCTGCAAAACAGAACAAAAAGAAGAGGAGGAGGAGCTCGTAACACAATCTAACAAAAAGAAAACCACAAAATTCAGAATCAAAGGTTAGGGTTTTTCATACATGAAAGGAGCCAGTCCATTTTCCAACGTTAAGATCGACGAATCCGCGTAAATTGTCAATGCTCATTGATTCATCGCTCGTTCTCTTGTCATCTTCTTGCACAGCCATGGACCTGATAACAAGGCTCCTGGTTCTGTAGGTCGAACGTAGAAGCTGATTCGGATTCAAGAGCGTAGAAGATGATTTAGTTAGTGGTGAGACGAAAAGTGAGCAAGCGAAGGAAGCAGTAGCCATGGAAAGAGGAGGAAACAGAGAACCGAGAGTGAGTGATTCGTTTTTGTGAATTTATCTTATCTACAGATACACTGCGTGCCGTTTTATAGCTCCCATCCTTATTTTACTCTCTAAAGACAGCAAGTAGTTCTATGATGTTCAATGGACACAGCATGATATTACATAGCCTAAAAAGCAAGTGATTCATAGTTTCTGCATTAGATTGGCATCTTTAGTATAAGATCTTTTAACAAATGCCTATAGGGCCAAGTTTGATGCATCATGGCATCAAAATTAATTAGTCCTGACAACTTTCAAGCATCTGATTCAATAAAGAGACTTGTATTAATTATGTAATTAATTATGCTTCTATGGAATGAATATTATAATTGCTGAATCTTACAAGCTTTCTAACAATAAAATTGATTAGAATTTACAACCTAACCTAATTTACGCATGCTTAGAAATTAAGCAGATCAAAGAATCTTGTCTTGACATCAGATCGCAATATGCTTAATCGAAGGAAGTAAAAACGCTTTGAAGTAAAAAAAAACTCTTCTTTATTGAATTGATTCTAAAATTTTATAGCAATTGAAATAAGAACTACAATAAAGACAAATTATAAAGGAGACAATGAAAGAATAAAAACTTTTTATATAATGATGAACCGAATCAGTAACTCTACATGAGTACTTGAAACAAGTTAAACTAAAGAAATTTTACTCCAAAGATAAAACAAAAGAAAACAAAGAATGCTTAGTGATGGGGTTGGTAGCTGCGTAACCACTTGTTGAGGCGGTCCATAGGRGACAAGTCCATCTTCTTTGTAAAATCGGGGATTGTAACGTCTTTGATTAATGGTCCGACCACGACTCGTAGCTTAAGCCCAGCATAGCAGTGACCGGTCACTGAGCTAATGAAATAATGGACTCCTGGTTTGGTGAGCCTGACGAGATCATGTCCTGTCTTGTGTACAGCTACAGGAGAAGTCGGGTCACAAGATATGAACTCAAGATGACCGCTGATTTCTAAAACATCGTTGACTTCGTGACTGTTTTCGAAAAACAGAGAATCTCCAACTTGAAACGTTTTCTCCTCGCTCCACTTGTTGTAGAAGTCACTGTCGTATACTCCCCATCCTTTTGAGTCACCGACCTTGTACATCTTTCCAAAAGGAAAGATCTTGCTCGGTGGTGGTGGAGGAACCGGACGTGACGGATCATGGATGACAAGAACGTCGAGCTTTTGTCCGGACAAACATTGAGCATGGTTTGAGCTGATGAAGTAGTGGAAACCTGGTTCCGTGAGGGTCACGACATCGTGTCCCGTGTTGTATACGGCTTTAGGAGAAGAGAAGTCACAAAACTCGTACTCCAAAGCGCCCGAGACTTGAGTCACGTCGTTGAAGTTGGGATCGTATTCAAAGATGAGAGAATCTCCGACGTGGAATTCTTTACCCTTGGTCCAATCGTAATAGACATCGTCCTTCGCTGCCCATCCATCGGAATCTCCGACTTTGTAGACCTTCGCCGAGCAGCAACCCAAAAGAACCGTGAAGCTTAAGGCAAGCACGATGCAAAGGATCATCTTCTTTGTTGTGGCCATGATTCGATGTTAAACAC